TGTAGTTTTACCTTGATTTTCCTGTTTACCATGGTTTACCCAAGATGATCCAGAATGGTTAAGTGTTTAAAATATCTAAGTATAGTAAAATGTATAATACAAACTCTGTAGAACATGGTATGTTTTTACAAGAATCTTTATAAATGTTTGCCATATAAACATTTTCCCCATCAATCAATATCCATAATAAATATTTAAACTCCGTAGTTCGTTCCATTCCTCAGATTTCCATCTAGGGTTTTTGGATTTTTATTTAATAACATAACATTACTACATATAACATAACTACTTTATAGCAATGATACTAAACATCAGCAAAGGTTCACATAAAAGCAATATAAATTATAGTTTTAATATCAAACAGTCATGCAATAAGTACAACAACAATGAAAAAAAAAATCGGAACAAAATAATAATCATTAGAGGTTTATATTGTTTGAGAAAAGAAGTATACTCAAAACAGCCAGAATATGGTAACATTTACCATGTTCTTGAATAAGTGCAACAACAATGAAGAGTAAAACCTAAACAAAATAATAATTATTAAAGTTTTCTATTGTTTGAGAAGAGAAGTATGCTCAAAACAGCCAGAATATGGTAACATTTATCATGTTCTTGAATAAGTGCAACAACAATAAAGAGAAAAATCTAACAAAATAATATTTATTAGAGTTTTAGATTGTTTGAGAAAAGAAGTATGCTCAAAGCAGCCAGAATATGGTAACATTTACCATGTTCTTGATCTGAAGGAGCAGCAAAAAATTGGTAATTTTTACCGAAGCGATTTGTTAATAATTTTGTCATAATTATCAATGAATATTGTTTCATAATATCTGATAACATTTGATAGATGTAAAATTAGTTAATTTTATTATAACGCCCCTTAAAAACATGGCATGAAAACTATTTTTTCGGATAAATTTTCAGTTTTGTATTTTTTACTACCTGCATAATAATTAAAAGCAAAACTTTGAAAACCATAATTTCTGGTAAACCGTTACTGTATAAATGGAAAAAACACCAAATGAATTATTTAAATACTGTATAGTATTTTTATAAACTGGAATTATGTTTTTTTTTAAACCAAAACAATCAGTATGGTAATTTTATAGTATGGTAGCTTTACCAGAATTTTTTTCTCCGTGATCTAGATAGTTCTAATTTTAAATTTTAGTACTTACCATAATTTGCTCAAATTTGCTACGACATTCAAACATATTATCCTAATTTTTAAGTATGAGTGCATGTTACTGAGGTTTAAGTTAAAAGGAAAAATGTTTTAATTCATTTATAGTTGAATGAACCGATTTGTTCTCTTTTGAGAGTATACAAATAGTACAAATTACTGTACAGAATAAAAATTGTTGAACACTTTAAACGCATAAAAAAGTCATTTTTAGTTTCTGTTTAAACAGCGATATCTATGACTGAGAAAAAATATTTTAAAGCATAAAGAGAAAACTATAAGTGTAGTGTTCTTTTTCATTTACCGAGACTCTTGTTTCAAAGAAATGTTCTCTTTGTAATTGAAATTTACATTTTCTTTCAATAAATTCCTTTAACTATTCACGATATTTTTTTATTTCTTATAACAGTGAAAATGCATTTTATAAAAAAAATCCTCTATTTAAATCAAACAGCTTAAACAAATACATTTTGCAAACTAGGTTCTTATTTTTTCATTTAAATTCCTATTTTCATTTTCTTATCTTTACAAATTCTCAACTCAATTTAGAAAAACCAAATTCTTAACAGAAATGTTTGATTGTAGTGAATTTTGTTATCTAGTTTTAAAGTTTCTTCTAAGACTTTTTAAAACTCAAAACTACTTACAGAAATTGTAGAAACTAAACATTTAACACTATAGTTAGATAGTAGGGGAGCTAACATAAAGCAGTTTTTCAATGTTGATTTATTTCGAAAATTAGAACATTTTCATTTTGAATTGATTTTGGAAATAAAGAGTGGAAGTTTGCTTTTACGTTTTTTTAATCAGAATTAGATTTCAAAGAAATTTCATTCATTTCTGTTTTAAAAAATGAAACTGTTATTTTCTAATGATATTTGCAATTAGCCTGCATGCTTAATTTAAAATTTATAGTCCAAAATTTAAAGATTGTATTTTGAATGAAAATTAGAAAACTACTTTTCAGTTACAAAAGTTAACAGTTCTTCATTTTTCTTTTTAAAATATTTTCGAAAATATTTCTTTTTAAAAGATTTTTTTTAAATAAACCGAAAGCGTTATTCTTTTATGTTCTTATAAGCATCACATTCCTAAAAAAGTTCCATAATTGGTTAAAATTATGAATAATCTGTATTATTTGAACTTTTGGTATTTAAAATTAATTTAGTTAATTTGGTTTACTATTTATTTAGTTTGAGCCCTGGTTAAATGGCTTGAATGCAATGAAAGAAAGGGAGAGTGGTTGGTGATTGTGGGTTGAAGCCCGTCAATATTTGGCCAATGGACTCGAAGCTTTTACGTGAAATAAATGCAACCTGTGCACAACCACTTTGTCTGACCACTTTGTCAGAAACGTGGAGTTAGTCAAGTAATTGTGAAACACTAATCTCCATTGTATCACAATCGGCTGCTGCAGGAATGACGAAACCGCTTAAAATTTTATAGGTTTAGAGTTCTTATTCTACCATTTTCAGAATCATTGATTTGAAGGTATTATATTGGAACACTTATCGAATGTTATGGAATCAGTATTTGAACATTCAATGTATTTTCCTATTTTGAGTTTTACATTTGAATTTAAGTTAACGAAAAATGCATTTAAAATATTATCTTTTATCAACTACAATTGATAATAGTGTCTGTAAATTCAAGAAAAGTTTGTGCAGTCAAACTTTTGAAAAAATTACTTAATTTTTATTTAATTATTCTCATGTATGTGTAAAATATGTAAAAGTGCGAAAAAATATTGTTTTAAAATTTTTAATAATCTTGACAAACAGAAAATGTTAGACCAAGGGATATTAAAGGAACGTTTAAGCACGGAAATGCACTGTTAGAATTTCCATTCTAAAATTACGATACAGTAATATGCAGCATCCTGTTCATATAATTAGGCTCACAAGTTATGACTAGGAGCATTCATTTATCTTTACGAGTTGAAATCGTTCGCAACTAATTTAATTAAACATTTGTGTATACAAAACGATATGATTTTGTAATAATTTACAAGGATGTTTTCAAAACCCTAAAATTGAAGTTTAGCTTTATATTGATGTTTTGTTAGGCTTTAAGTTAGCTATTGTAGTTAGACTGTGGTTGAGTTGTGTTGAGTGAACAATGCAATAAACAATGTGGGTTAATTCATTTAGCGGGACCATCTATCCTGAACGATGAAAAATACGAGACATTTTCTCTTAAGAAGCTCCGTGGCTTTGTCATCATACGGGAATAAGAGTTTTATATTCTAACTGTCCAGGGTCACCAATTAAGGAGCGAGTGACATTAGAAAATCCTCATGTATTGATATAAAGGAGGAAATATTGTCGTTTCAATGCTGAGTTTCGAGCAGCAGATTATCCAGTTATGAGATAGAAAAATTAGCCCTCTTGGCTAAAGTACGCACCCAGCTGCAAGGAACTAAAAGTTTTCATAAGGTGTTCACCGAGGGCTATTTACTATAAGATTATTTTGTTGTTTTTTTCGATTATGGAAAATAAAAATATGAATTACAAATCCTTATCACATGACTTAGCTTCCAGCTATAGAAGATCATGCTCACAATTACCATTACCTGCGAGTCTAGTTAGCACCGATAATATTCCTGTTGCTCAACCATATTAGGTGATTAGGTGATAACAGCCAATAAAGGGTTTTTCTCGCAGTTAACAGTTTATATACAATATTTTTTTTAGTGTTTAGAGCTATGATATTGGTTGAATAGGGCAATAGAATATGATTTAAAAAAACTTCCGAGAAATTTCAAACGCTGTAGTTGAACTAAATACCAATTGGTAAATAATCAGAAAGTACCAATTTAGGTAGATTTTAATTGATTCCTGCAACTGGTTGTTAAAAATGGTTCATAGTGAAAAAAGAAACTTTTTTATTTTTCACTAATCCTTTTCTATATTAGTGATTAATGAAAACAATGGCATGTAAATTGAGCTTATGACGAAACTCGACGAAAGTAAATGTAAAGTTGCTTTTTCTTTGAAAAACGGGACAACAAATTGTCCAACAAAATATTAATAAGCATGAAATATCAATATAAATTAAAAGTTTTCTTGATCAATATTAGGAGTAATATACTTTGTTGTTACAAACCTTGTTGAAATTCATAAAGCGTCGTACCGATTTCTTAATTTGATAACAGGTGAAGATGATAAATAAACTGGGTGCTTCACAATAACCACTCTTAATGTATATTTTGGGTAAAATTTAATTGCAAAAATTCAAGCAATTAAATTTTACCCATCGAGGGTCGTAAATTATTATTTGTTTGAAATGAGGCTGACCAATCAGCATTGCGATTAGAGATTCTACGAGAGTGAGATGCTTAGTTGATTAAAGACTCAAACCATTAACATTTATATTCTTTTAATGAAAAGTTTTTTTCTCTCCATTGTTCTCAATATAGATGTCCACATTTTAAAATCACTTTTCGTCTACCTCAGAAAAATATTAATTTTTGACTTCTAATCAGTACAGTTATTTATTTTTAATCTTTTACGAGAATTCTTCACAGATGTATTTTTCCCCAATTAATGAGCCCCTTTGTAAAATAATAATAAAATTACTTAAACATTTCCTTAGATTAACATGAAAGAAACCGTTTTTTTAACACAGGAAAAAGTCGTGACTAACACTCAGATGTTTAAGTACAGTCATTACGTAACAGTTTATGCACGTATAATCAATCTCGATATGAAACACTCTTTGGAACACAAATATTTATTATAATGTGTAAAAGCTTGGTTGTTGAGTCTGAAGTAAATAGTCAGCGATTTAAATATTTTAATTATCTACTTCACAGCTACAGGGACGGGGCAAATGACGTAGAGGATGTCCTCCACATGACCTGCCCTCCTCATCCGGACTCAACGGACATTGACGAATTATCGGAAACCGAATGTGACAGGCATCACAGCTCCTGGATTGTTATCAGAGGTGTGTATCCAAAATGAATTTGGTTTACCGATTCGACAGAATCTAAAGCTGATTTGACAGAATCTGAAGGAAATTGGTTCCGATTATAGAAACTGCGATACGAGAATATCTCTTCAGAGAATTTCAGAATGCGGTAGAAAGCTGTGAGGAGATAGTTATCGAATTTTATTATGTAGGTTAGACGGAAGGTTTGCAAATGAGGTTGGAAATGTGTTTGGTTGTAGTCTTTAATGCATTAATGTGTCAAATAAAATGAAATAGATTATTTAGGATTAATAACTTTTCTCATTATACAGTCAGTAATTAATTATTTTCTTAACGATAAGAAATATTGATCAAAATTAAACTTATTTTAACTATATTAATTTTTACTTTATTCTGATATTTTCATTAGTTTTTTAACTACTCAATAGTTATTACTTTTCCAGTTACCAGTTATTACTTTTATTATTTATTACTTACTAGAATTTATTTATTTATTTTTTTTTTTTTTTGTAAAACCAAATGCATACTACATACGCGTTACTTAAAACTGTAAATTTGTAATGGCATACTACTCAATATTTTAAATGAAGCATTCTTAGACGAGAATATATAGCAAACAGTATCTTGAATTGTGCAAATATTAAGTATATATAATGGGGCTGTATTAAATATCTAGTTTTTTTGAGCTACTAAATTTGTGCACCATAAAAACTAGTTTTATTAAACAATTGTTAAATTGTCGCTAACTAAATATTTTTTAAAACAATAAAAAACTTGACTTAACTTAACTGAAACTTAACTTAAACTTGAAACAATAAAAAAATTCAATTTAAAATGCAACGATTAAACAACAACATACATTGTGAAAAATTCCTAACAAAATTGGGATAAAAGAAACTGGCACCCTGAATGCATCATCCGTGAAATCCTTTTATCCGTAAAATCCTTTTTAACCGTAAAATTTTCAACATAATTTATACACTACTATTTATTTAATTGCAATGATTTCACAGTAAATATAACTGCACACAAAAATTACGGTATATGAAAATGTTTGTTCAGTATAACCTTACGGTAAAAATGGATTTTACAGTAAAAAGTATTAGCCGACCGAGTACTGGTATTTCTTACCGTAATTTCATCCGGAATTTTACGGTGTGCTGAAATCCTAAAAATAGTATTTTTTATTTTGAATCACAGAAACCAGCTTTATACCGTCTTCAATTGCATTTGTTTTAAACATTTCATTATAAGTTTCATGGATCGGCTGATATTCTTTACCGTAATTTCATCCGGATTTATACGGTGTGCTGAAATCCTAAAAATAGTATTTTTTTTTATTTTGAATCCCAGAAAACCATTATATTGCCAGAAAGCAGCAGTCCAGAAGCTACCGTCTTCGATTGCATTTTTTTTAAACATTTCATTATAAGTTTCACGGATCTGCTGATATTTTTTACCGTAATTTCATCCGGATTTATACGGTGTGCTGAAATCCTAAAAATAGTATTTTTTATTTTGAATCCCAGAAAGCCATTATATTGCCAGAAAGCAGCAGCCCAGAAGCTACCGTCTTCGATTGCATTTTTTTTTTAAATATTTCATTATAAGTTTCACGGATCTGCTGATATTTTTTACCTTAATTTCATCCGGATTTATACGGTGTGCTGAAATCCTAAAAATAGTATTATTTATTTTTGTACCGTCTTCAATTGCATTTGTTTTAAGAATTTCATTGATTTTGTACTACATTTTTATCCTTAAATATTTTCTTTTAAATAACTTGCTTCAAAGTTCAAAAAAAAGTTTCACGGATCTACATTTGAAGTAATTTAAATGCTAATTTTGACCAAAAATGATGGGGTTTTTAATGATGTATATTTTTATTTTTAAAAAAACAAGTATGCTTTCTGCCTTTAGAATTTTAAGTTTTAATTGCAAAGGATATATGTAAGATAAAATTGCATTTTAATAGTATCTCTCAAACATTAAAATAATGAATGCATATTTATTGATTCATGAATTTCGCTTTTACAGATACGTATGAAGATAACCTGATGAGGAGGATGCCTCATGTATGTTAAGAGCTATTTCCTGGAACTCATCATAAAAGATATGTACATAATGCTGCCCCTTTAAAACTATAAAAATCATTCGAACAATCTATTAAACGTTTTTTGGAGAAACTACACATTCATCGAAATCATCATCATCGTTTTTCATTTTTTTCAAGAGCGGAAAAAAACATTTGTCGTTTTAATGACTTGTGCCATATAATGGATATGTTGAAGAAGAAGAAAATTATTTTTCAGGTTCTTTTTCGAAAAGAAACTTTAAATACGATGGTTATCAATTTAAATTATGTAAATAACAAAGATAAAAATTCAACTGAAAAAAAAACTTTCAGGAGGTTATGAATGTTGAAAAATTGAATTTTTTTCTGAATAAAATATGGTTTTTGCTAACTTTTTGCATTTTCTTTTTTTAATCATGTTCCACTGCCTTCTTTGCTCATAAATAACAATAAATGCCAAAAAAATCTGAAACTCATTGAAACATTTTTCACGATTACGATAATAAATATGCATATATTCGATACACAAGGGGGGCAAGTTGAAGATCACATTATGTTAATCGCGTCATTAAAAGGAAGGAATTTACATATCAAGAAGAAAAGCAAGCTATTTACTTATTTATTTAACCGTAATATTCACTCAGAAGTTTTTCTCCTAATAGCAGCACAGTTTAACACTTGAAATTAATTCCTCCTTTTCTATTTTGGGAATTCATGTTAAGTGTATGGGTTTCATTATTTATCATCTGATAATATGTTGATCAAAATAATCTGATAAAAATTTAGGAAAATGAATGTTTAAAATTATGTCAAAGAGCTAACATTAATATTTAAAGATAAATTAAGTTAAAATACTCAAGAGAATGTTTAATAAGATCTAATATCAAAGCATTTAAAGAATGTTTTTAAATTTAAACAGTTAAGAAATCTTGTCTCACAAAGGCCTCAAAACAAATATGCACCGAATTTCAATAGTATTAGATACTCTTTTGAATCTTATTTATTTAATTAATTATTCCGCCTTTTATTCCTGTTTAGAAATCGGAATCTTTTGCATACATTATTACACATTTAGTTTTCACATTTTGAATTAAATTTGTATTTTCCTTGAATATACAAAAATTTAATTTTTGTTTTTTGAATTCGGAATTATTAAGTACCGAGTTAATATTTTAGCATTCTATTAATTAATATAAAAGAAATTAAAATTATATCCCTTCACATTTAACATTATCAATGCTTATGATTACGTAAAAATGAATATAAAACTTTATTTAGAAGACATTATTCCCACATTTTAGGTAATATACCTTCAGATATATTTGCATATTTCTTTTATTTCTTTAAAAATAATTTTAAGTACCTGTATATGCAAATAAAAAGTACTTTATTAAATTATTTTAAGTGAGAATTGCTAACAAATGTTTCACTAAGGAATGAAAAAAATATCATGAATGAAAGAACAAAGATCCGATTAATAAAGTGTTCGGTATTAAAATCATAAAAATTATGATAGTTATTGATGAAACTCATATATGATAGTTATATATGAGTTTCACAGTTATAGACGAAAAACTATAATCAGTAATTTCTCTAAGTTCCATCCTACAATCAAACTGTATAAACAGTCAATACTGTAAAGACTCCAACGCAGCTAATCTGCATCCAAAAACAGTACAAGTATAAAACTTGACTTGCTAAAAGAGTCATTTTAATTTGCAACTTTGAAACTATTTAAAGTTTATTTATTTGTTTTTTGAAATTACACAAAATGTATTGCATGTCTAAGAGCTTTTACAAAAAAATTTCTAATTTATTTGTCCTGTATCCTTTTTTCGTAAATAGATGTAGGAAAATCTATTTATCTCTCTGGAGTTTTATTGAAGTTCTCTCATTTTGATGTAAAAGAAAAGAAGTAAAAAATTACAATTAACTAATTTTTAACAATTAACTAATATGTTGGGATAGTTATTTATTAACCACATGAAAATTAATAGTTAATATTCATTTTTTAGAAACAATAGTAACAGAAATAAAAATTAAAGAGAACATTGTGTAATTAAAAAAAATGGCAATGAGCCTTTTTTTAATGCTTTTGCAAATCAACCGTACATATTGAAAAATTAAAAAAAAAAAAATATGATAATAAATCCAGTGGGAACAAATTTACCATTTATCAATATCAGTCATGAATGATCTGATAGCAAATACTATTGTGCTGTTACAAAATGAACATTCTATTATCTATGTATTCATTGTACTAATTTTTGTATTAATATTTTTTTTGTGAAATCAAGTAATTGCGTATGAAAATGAAAGGCAACTAAAAAAGTATGAGGATAACACACTATAATTTTGAAAATGGCAAATAGTCGCATTTAAGTACTTTTCATGTTCCTTTTTTTATTCTTTTTATCAAAAATTTAGTTACCATAAATAAAAAAAACTTTGTTTTCATAAGACCGCAATTCTGCCAAAAACTATCTACAATCGTAATTGAATCTTCAGTTTGTGTCAAAGATGCAAAGTAAAAAAAAAAATGTTAATTCAACATAGACTTCAATTTTGAAGTTTTTCAGAGTAGCTATGAAATCTTTCTGCAAGCTGACTTTAGTGATCTCCGTAACAAATCTTCGCGTAACAATTTCTCTTCACCTTCTTCAATTTTATTTATTTATTGGTACACATAAATGTAGGTTTGTGTGCTCAAATTCATAAATACGGCTTATAAACCTTTCTGAAGTAGAAAAATGCTGAGAAGGGCAGCACAAAGATGCATCAAGGGTTTCGGTGGGATTCGAACCCACTACCTCCACGCTTCAGAGAATTTGGCAGGTGATAACCATTCGGCCAGTAAATGCCTTCATGTCACATTTCTCGATTAAGTTCGCGCAAAGGCTTTCTATTGTTGTAGTTCATTTACGTCGCAACAGAGCTGCATAATGGGCTATTGGCGACGGTCTGGGAAACATCCATGAGGATGATCCGAAGGCATGCCATCACAATTTTGATCCTCTGCAGAGGGGATGCCCCCCCGATTCGGTAGCCCGACGACCTGCACGCAAAGTCGAGCACTTTACGGTAGAACAGATTAACGAGGACCAATACCGCACACTCTCGGCCGGCAGACTGATCCAAGTGGTCACCCACCCGCACACTAATCGCAACCGGTGATGCTTGACTTCGGTGATCTGCTGGGAAAGGCTATCTGCAAAAGTTGTGTTGTTAGACTTCGGTTGCTGGTAGAAAAAAAAGAAAGAATTTCCATGCCTTGCAGCTCCTTGAAACAGTAAGATGTAGATTTATTTCCCAGAAGCTGTCCCCATCAAGTTACCGAAGAAATAAGTTTGCCTTAATAATTGACGTCAGTTTGATTCAAAATTATTTAAGGTACGTATGTGACAAATGAGCAATTTAATTTTCAACTTTATTGTTGCTGTTGTTCATTTACGTCGCACCAGAGCTGTACATTGGGCTATTGTCGACGATCTGGGATACATCCCTGAGGATGATTCGAAGACGTGCCCTCATACTCGACTTCCTCAATTTAGGCATAGATCTGAATGGGAGAAAAATTTTCTCCGGATCCCTGTACCCATGGTACTGCTCAATTACCGACCATGGGACTTTCGATTCCACAGATTGTAGGAGCACATACATATATTGCATGTGTTCGATGGGTCTTCGCTGGGACGAGAATCAAACCCCGGCCTATCCTGGCGGGAGATCAATTCTCTAACCACTGGGCTACCACGCCCCAAATGTTTCTGGACGAGGAGGTTATTTCTTCTTTAATGATTGTTTTCTAAGACAAATTTAAAGTGGAAAAAATAAAGAAGATAATGTTGAAACGTCAAAAAGAACAAGAACAAAATTTGTTTTTCAGTAAAATTTGTTTCAGAACGGAAGCAAAGATGACTTTAAAGAAATTGGGAGGCGCAGCCACCTAGTATTTCTACATTTATTTGAAAATCTTGAATTTTAAAGGGCTATCAGCATGATATGAGGTTAATGAGCCTAAAGCTTCAAAAATAATACGAATGTAAAATCTCTATATTCATTGCAAAGAGCATTTGAATAACACAATGGTAAGAAATATTTGCTTATTTTAAATGCTCTGTTTTGTTTAGATGACTTGATTCTTATTTTGTTTCACGTGCCTCGAAATTTTTTTTATTGATAAACGTTAACGTTTTAATAAAAACGTGTAAATATTCTTTAGTTAGCTTGTTTGAAAAAGTGCTTAATAAAAACACCTATCGTTCTGTAGTAGGCACATTGAAAAAACATAAACTGCGCTATTTATGTTTCCAGCGTTAAACTTTATCAAAACAATAAAAGAATGTTTTGAGAAACGGGAACGAGCATGAAAAGCGCTTATTTGAATGTTGCTCACTAATCTAAGAAGAATATATGAGCATAAAATTCCCATTATATTTGTTAAAAAAGCAAAGTATATTAAAAAAGCAAAAGAAAAAATTAAAGTGGTAATTAAGAAAATTTTGCTTGAGCATACTAGAGAAAATAGATAAATAAATCTTTTAGTCTATAGTTCAGTTATTAAACAATTTAACAACGGTTTCTTGCTACATCGTAAAAATTGAATCTTCCGTTAGATTTAATTTATATTTTATAAAAAGACGATTTAATAGCCTGCAGATCTAACTAAGCCAAAATTAGTTTAGTGGCACATTCTTATGAATTATTTATACTGGGGAACTAACATTTTGTTGCATTTATTCAAATACTTGATCTTGCACAGTTCGAGAGTGGGAATTTAAAATTTAAAATTAGCTCAGTTGCATCTTTTTTGAAACAACATATTCAATCCATTTTTGTCTAAATATAAGAGTTTAAAAACGTTATATATAACAGGGACCGAGTAAATATTTCGACAAACTTCTAGGGCAGTTAAGGCTCAAAATCATGATTAAACTTCTAACCCAAGCCTGGAAATATTGCACTACTCTACTAGGGTTTCTTCCTAAACTATGACCTGATCAAAAGAACATGGCGAAACAATTTATAATAAGCAAGCGTTCCTAGTGACGTAAGGTGACATTTCCAGGAATGAGATACTATACAATTCTAATTCTGAAAACATGCCATAACTCTACTAGAAATTTGTCGCATTGTTTGCACGACCCCTTATTATATATAACATTTTCAAATTTATACATTTCATTGAAAATAAATTAAAAGTATCATTAAAAAAAACTGTATCCTGGAGAAAAAAATCGACTGCTGATTAGTATGTTTTCATTTTTATAAACCGTAAATAATTGTCAGAATTTTATTGATGCCAACGATGCTCAATTAATTTTGG